TCCTCGGTGGTGATATCTCTCAGATAGTGGTTGGCAAACACCATATCGGATCTCCAGAAATAACCCTCCATTATTTCAATAGCATTTGTGTAGAGCAATGTAGATGTTAGCTCTAATATCATGAGGATTAGAAGCTCATGGAGGGTCGATCCTGCAGTCTTGTAGGCACGTAGTATGACAGTTCTGATCCAAAAGGAGATAGTAGTACGTGAGACTTCCGTCTGCGTAGCTTGATAGAGGAAATAAATCTCTTGCATTTTTCCCTCCTGTTTGGCTCGGTGGAGATATATTTTCAGTGCTCTTACTGGCCATCGTGATAGATTCATCGTATCATGGGGTCCAAGTATATCATCAAAGCGTGTTCATAAACCTCACTTGTGAGGTGTTGGAGCACTATATTCAGATCCCAAGTTGGGCGTGAAACTTCCGTTTAATCCTCAATCGGAAAGCTTCGTAGCAAAGGCGAGTAACTGGGTTAGGTTAACTTGGCCCCGTTCTCAGTTATGATAGAGCTATTGCTGCAAGATAGGTGGACAAGTTGAGCCTTATAAAATCTTAGTCTGGCGTAGATAACATAAGTAGTCCGCCACTTGAGGATGAGTAGCATATCTAGCTGTAAATCCTTCCTTTGCAGCATAATTGACAAACTGTGCCATTTGTCATCATATAAGTTGCCAGTTGAGTTCGCAGGGGCAAGCTAGACTGCTTTGCAGCTCTGGCTGAATAACTTGTTATTCAGACCATATGATACAATCCAAGCGTGAAGTTGGAATATATCTGGCTTTCCGTCGCTTGTTTGGTGTCGCGGATGTATTAACAGATTCGAGCACTCTGTAAGATGTAGTATTGGTTGTCCGATTTCTTGAATAAGAGTTGGAAACCACGTTCTACCAGCTGGTCAGTAGGCGTGACCAAATTCAGATGGAGGCTCTGCTTTTGACTGATTTTGAGTAAACTTGTGAGATTAATGCTGGTGGCGGAAAAGCGTATGCGTTGAGTCCTTCCCACGATATGCTTAGTGCGTCTGTTGCCAATGCTAGTGGGTCTGGAACTGGCGATACGAATGTTGTCAGTTGTTTGTTGAATCGAGTGGTAAATAGGTCTATTAGTGTAGTTCCTATTTCCTTGATAATTTGAGTGAATATCTCTGTATGGAGCATTCATTCTGTCGGCGATGGTATGTGTGGCCGAGAGAGAGCGTCTGCTATCACATTCTTTGCTCCTGGAATGTGATATGCTCTGACATGTATGTTGAGATTGTCGATTAAATCGAACAATTGAAAACAGAGTCGATATGTTCGGGGACCTGGTTGAGCTTAGTTTGTTCACATAAAACGCCACTGTCGAATTGACTGTGTGAATCATCCACTGGGTATACTGTAGTAAGTTGCTCCAGTGCATTAAGGCGTTTATTACTGCTTGCATCTCTAGCAGATTTATGTGTAATTTGTTCTCTTGATTGCTCATAGCCCTGATGCCGTCCTGTTGGCAAGATGGGCTCCCCAACCTTATAGTGACACATCTACGTAGAGAAGTGTTATCGATTCCAGCTCTATTAACGAGACGCCTATTCAAACATTGATCTCTTGGTCCACCATAGTAGATGAGGTTTGACCTGAACCAGTGAATTGAGCGGTAGAGATTCGTCTAGATGCGAATTGATGATGACTTGTAGCGGATGTAATTGTAGTCTGCCTCTGCCTGTCATGTCTTGAGCTGAGCTGAAGTCGCGTAACCCCAACAGACTCTGTCACTGTCGTAGTGGTAGCGAGATAGTAAGGCTTAATGGAAATGACTGTTGGATCTTGATCCATGGTTCTCGGTACAATTATACGATTCTGCGCCGTTACAAATCAAAACCTAGAATTAGCAGATCTTGCGAAGGTTCTAGGTCCAACTTAGTAGGTTTACTAACCATCTAGTTGTGTTAGTAGCTTGATGATGAATTCAACTGTAGTCTGAGGCGCTATGGATTTGGATCCATTTGTATCCCGTCGTCGAGGTAAATTAAGCTGCGAAGTGCTTGGCGATGTAGGTGCACAACCAGGGGTGACTGCCATCGTTGAACTTTTATGTAAAAAAATGCGCCTGACTGCCGTGCCTCGTCCTTACTTGACAGGGGAGGTCTCTAACCTCAAGAAGGCAGCCCAATCATGAAGGTTCAGATTAGCTGGACTGTAAGGAGGCTTGCTCGTTCACTGATATATTGTTGTCACTTGCAACCTATGTGTTGAACTGTGAACTATGATCGACCTCCTCTGCGTAGAAGCGTTGTCCATCTCGGTCCAATCAGAACAAGGCATTTTGATTCTGTAGAGTACCCGCGCTGTGATGTCACCGGTGTAGCAGGAAAAGGAACCTTGTATAATATAGTGCCGTCGTTGATATTAGAACAATCGTCGGTCTTCACGTAACTTCGAAGTTACCCGGTGACCACGTGTTTCGAGGGTTGATGGTAAGCAGCGAAACCTCCGGTAAATAAATACCTCAGCTCTGTAATATTAATGCTGGGTAGGTTATTTTCCAGGCTGTCGTGAAAGTAACTTCAGTCTTGAAGATAATTCCGACTTCCTTATATAAGGTTCAATAAACCTTGCAAGTTGTCAGCTTGTAGACTGTTAAAGCTGAACTTGTTGTACATATTTCTTCTCAGGAAATCATTGACGATTATGAGTTTTACTCGTTGTAACAAGGCTGCTGTTCAATTTCGTTATTGAATTGTCTGCAGATCTGCGTAATGGTCACGCATGTAGATAATCGTATCGTAGTAGGTAGTCGGCTTGAAGATCCTTAATTAGGCTCTTCATCTGTTGATAAATTAATACAGCGACGTTCTGTGTTGTAAATAGCCTGTGCAATTGTCTTCGCGTAGGCTTGTAGACGGCATATGGCTTACAGTTGATAGACAACTCATGCGATGTCTTGAACGGACTGACGAGTGGCTATATATGACGAGTGGCTAGTATATGGAGACCTTGGAGGAGACTTCCTCGGCGAACGCCGGGGACTTCGCGAAGATCTCGAAATAACGCTTCTAGATCTTCTGGGTGAAGTAGACTTGGAGCCACTTAGCCTTGGCGACCTTAGTGTCGAAGTGTCGAGTCAGAGTCCGATCAATATATGGCTTGCTTGCTTGAGCGACCTCTGTGTTCTACAGGGTGTGGGCTCGTGGCGCTCCTTCTCGCGATGTCCCTCTCAACTGGTGAGGCTCTAGCTCCTTCCAGCTGAGGCGACCTGGGACTTCCTTAGCGAAGTGTCTAGAGTCCGATCAATATATGGCGCTTGCTTGAGAGCGACCTCTGTGTTCTACAGGGTGTGGGCTCGTGGCGCTCCGCAACTCTATATATGGCGCTTGCTTCGCGAGCGACCTCTGTGTTCTACAGGGTGTGGGCTCGGCGAAGCTCTCCATAACTCAATATATGGCTTGCCCAGAGCGACCTCCTGTGTTCTACAGGGTGTGGGCTCGGGCTCGTGACGCTCCGCTAACTCAATATGCTCCAGCGCTTCAAGAAGCGAAGCGACCTCTGTGTTCTACAGGGTGTAGGCTCGGCAGCGCTCCTTCTCAGCGATGTCCCTCATAACTAGTGAGGCTCTAGCTCCTTGGCGGGCTGACCTGGGACTTCCTTAGCGAAGTGTTAAGCTACACGGGCTGGGTTGCCCGCCAGCGGCGAGGCGCGTCTGTGGGCTCAAAGGCCCTACAGCGAAACCAAAGCGGGGCTCTAAGGCCCTGTATGACTTAGTATGGGGTGGGCTCTGAGGCCCCGTGGCTCTGAGGCCTCTGTAAGCCCGTAACGGTCTTCCATCAGCCTCATGATTTGGTTGACCAGGTCGTCTGGGATGTCTCTGCGCTGGCGTTGAGGGTGTCCTCTCTGTGATAGTGGCGAGACCCTCAGTTATAATCTCCGGCGTCAGCGTAGGCATCTCTGATTGCATGTTGATCTGCGCTGAAGTGGCGGTAGCCGATACTGGTCACTTCTTATGACATACATCTGGAATGATAATCGAAATGTCATCATCATATAAACATAATTCTGAATATCAGAAGCAAAGTTTTTAGTAGCCTTCGTGGATTTCCCTTTGACGAGGCTGTAGACCTGGGGGTTGAATCGTCACGTTGAGACGGCGTGGAAGCTCTTCTAGTTTTAGACTGTGATGAAGGAGCGTCCTGGGAAGCAGGTAAACTTCTAGGATATAGCGGACTGCGTCCCCACGCTTATCCCGAAGGTAACTCAGGATATATCTGACTCCGATCTATTAGCCATGACTGAAGATTGTTTCCGAGATTTATCTGCCTTCCGTCTCAAAACGGAACATAAATATTTATCAAAGGCAGAAATTGGTAAATTAATACATAATTTACAACGAGAAACAATAGAACATGGAGTAATGCAACTAGGGCATTTTAAATGTGGATCGGTAGCAGAGTAACGTAATTTACAAACAGTGCAGATTTTTATTAACGCAAACTGCTGAGTAAACACGGCGAACCGTGAATCAAGCAGCAGAAACACGAATAATTATCAATGCATGTTGAATAATGATACTAGTTACACCTCTATAGATGAATATAAGAGGTAACAAACTAAATATAAATAAAGGATATAGTGTGCAGGGGAGACACAGGTGCTCTCGTCTTGCTCACTAGGCTGAAGAAGGAGAGAGTGAGGCACATGGGTTCGGGTGGCCCTTCGTTCAGCTTGTGGAAGGGAGGTAACTTCGTGGTGGGTACTAATGAGTGATTTTTATTGAAGGGAACTTCAATTGGGAGATACAAGTGTTCCACTAGGTTCTGAAATGAAGAAGAAGACAAGCAATAAGCATGAGTCAGGATAAGGAAAAGGACATGCTCACTCTATTATTAACACCTGGTGTCACCACTGGTGGTCCCTTCTTATAATTTTCACAATTTATGGCATCTGTTTCAAGACTAGATATTTTATTGCACTGATGTTTGATCTACAACTACATACAGGACACAATACTTTGTGTTTGGCAGTCACAATCTACCATGTAACCTATGGAGATACTGGGTATGAAGTATTGCCTATCAGCTTACAAGTTTCGATTTCCTTTTTCTGTTTGTCCATCTGTGACATGAGTTCCTCTCTTTCTTTCTGGTTTGTTTCCCCCAGTGTATCATAATCCTTCTGTTTGTCTTCCAGCTGTTTCGTTAAATCCTCCATTCCCTAAGAACACACACGTTGCAGGAGGTAACTCGGGTTAAACAACAGTCTTAAACGAATGAACATATCTGTGTCACTCTAAAGACCCGTGAAGAATGGTCTTCAACCCATGCTTGTCGTAGGCGACTATACTGTGTCTCGCTGACTCACATATCGGTTCCCAATTGTCGATGCTCATGCTGTTGATTACTGGATTGTCTGGTCCAGACTCGATTATTTACAGACCGCCGCCATATAGCTGAAATATTGGTGCGGCGTAAACCAGTCACTCTAATGTCGGTAAGGCGATGTCGGTAAGGCGAAGGTGGTGCAGGGGATTGGTGAAGGAAATGGGTGTTTAGGTGACAGACCAAGGATCATGCTTTATCCGAACGTTGGATGAGAACCTGATCCAGCGACACTTGAGTGAGTGAGTTTAGTTTTACGCCGCACTCAGCAATATCCCAGCTTAATTACGGCGGTCTGTAAATAATCGAGTCTGGACCAGACAAGCAAGTGATCAACAGCATGAGCATCGATGTACGCAATTGGGAACCGATGTGTCAACCATGTCAGCGAGCCTGACCACCTGATCCCGTTAGTCGCCTCTTACGACAAGCATGGGTTACTGAAGATCAATATTCTAACCAGGATCTTCACAGGTCCCAGCGACACGTAAACCAAACTTGAAGGAGCTGAAAGATGTTTACCATGTCTGTAAGCAAGGGTATTGTGTTGACGAAGTAAAAGATATCACTACATTTCTGAGATTCTGAGAAAGCGAGTTCAGTTGACTTGGACGGCTCTAAAAGATATTTTACTTTCCTATTTCTTGGAAATACAATTTGAGTTTCTTACTCCTGAGAAATATTGACAAAACATTTCAGTAGTATCTATATACACATACACATTTCACGTTTTAACGTCACAGGCAGACATTGTTTTATAAAAAGTGGTGGATAACACACCGTTTTCCCCCAGCGCATGATGAGTGTAACATATGAAATATGTCAGTTATCAGTATCGCACTTCCTGGTGACCCGATATATTTAACATAATCAAGGTATTGGGCTACTCACAGATTGCAGCTCTGCTATCTGCTCGTCCTTTCCGGCAAGTTCCTTTCTGTGCTCGGATTGCACCTTCAGTTTGTTAACAAAGACGAGGTAGGAGTTGCCTGTAAAGTAGAATTTTATCAACATATAATATTTTTGGTTTTCATATCAGTACGATTCTATCTATAAGTTACATTAGGGCAAAATGTTCCCAAATTTATTTAGCAGCAATATAATATGAATGTTCTAAATAACATACGTCTTGTATTTGTTTAGTATCACTTAATATTGGAGACGTTTTTATTTTGTGAAATGTGATGATGAGAAATACACTTGTGATGAGCACCAGCAGTTCTGTTTGAAACAAGGTACAAACATAATGTGGGAATTGAAGATGGAAAATAAATGTTATAACTGTGTTCCTCCTTTTTCGAGATGTATGTTAGCATACGTATAAGTATTAAGTGAAACCTATGACTTCTGTTTTGACGTTCTTGTGCGTATGTTGTCATGACATGGACAGCCACTACCGACATTCAGAGTTTACGCCTGAAGATGAAATGCAATGCAGTTTTGTACCTCCTTCCAAGGACGTTGCATCAAGTCTTTCTTTAATGAACGGTTGCGTGGAATCAAGCACCCCACACAGTGTCCTGTATCCCTCCACGCCTTTCTTCTTCAATATTTCTAACAGCATCTCACACTTCCCTGGCCCGGCCTGTCTACAGTTGTCATAGTCTTCCTGTGTGAAGACGCCGTCCTGCAACAAGGCGTCCAGCACAGGCTCCACCATAAGGAGCTCCTTCAGGAACTTGTGGTTCCTCTGAATGACGATAACGTGTTTAGCCTCCATCTTCTGATGTTAGGCGGGCAGCTGTGTCTTTGAGATTGAGATCACATTCCTGGAAGGTTAAAGGGAACTAAAACTATTGTCACGGTAAAACGGAAAGTATATAAATCATTAAGCTGAAGTGAAATTCTGTCTTGTAAAAATGACAAATTGTAGGTTTCTCGTCCCTGTACTCTTCGACACCACATAGAAGAATGTACATACAAAACCCTATAAACGTGTTCAATTCACAAATGTTTCCATGAGTTCTCACAGTTACTATAGCAACCAAACAGCTCATCAACATGTTTATGATTGTTACCTAGGAAACATTGAGTTGTCTTCTGAAACTAAATGGCACACAGGCTAATCACACACACACACACACACACACACACACACACACACACACATACACACACACACGATAGCTCAGAGAGAGAAAGAGAGAGAGAGAGAGAGAGAGAGAGAGAGAGAGACAGACAGACAGACAGACAGACAGACATATACACAGAGACACAGACACAGACACATACATATATACTCACACAGACACACAGACACATACACAGACACACACAGAGACACACACACATACATATACACACACAGAGACACATACATATACACACACAGAGACTTAGACACAGACACATACATATACACACACAGAGACACATACACAGACACACACAGAGACACAGACACATACATATACACACAGACACATACATATAGACACAGAGAGACACAGACACATACATATACACACACAGAGACACAAACACATACATATACACACAAAGAGACACAGACAGACACATACATATACACACACAGAGACACAGACAGACACATACATATACACACACAGAGACACAGACAGACACATACATATACACACACAGACCAGACACAGACACATACATATACACACACAGACACAGACACATTCATATACACACACAGAGACACAGACACAGACACAGACATACACACACAGAGACACATACACAGACACACACAGACACAGACATATACACACACAGACACATACATATACAGACACAAACACAGACACAGACACACACACACATACACATGAAGCTCCGAGTTAGGCTTATGTGCTCGGGTCAGGACTAACTAATTATGATTACACAGGTAACAATGTGTCCTATGCCATCTGAACAGACATAAAAATATAACTAATCGTTTAACCGTGACTCAGATACGAGTTGACATGACTGTTTTATCAATGCTGATCGCCTGTGAACATAATGCACACAGGAAATGTTGAATAAAGAAACACAGGGACAAGTGCTTCGAAGGGCTGTTATACATAACGACCACGTTAGACCATCGTTAAAGGTTTTACATACAATACAACACAAAGGTCTTCACAAGATAGGTTTCAACGCTACACCTCCAACACTGCAAGACTGTGCGCGTGAAGCTAGATTCAAACAGCATGCATTGCAGTCAGGAGACACGTGACACCAAGCGGGTGACTTAACCGACCCGACTGTACAATACTCCGGCTATGACGCCCGGATACACAGCACTGTAGCCCGCCCACAGCACAGACATGTAAAAGCCCTATTCATTCGTGGTCACGGCTGAGCGACAGCCATGATAACATCTCGTCTGCATATCAGCACCCACTGTGGCCAGCTTATGTAACATGTTATAACATGATTTGGTTTTCCCACCACTCCACCTCTGCATGTTCAACACCTATCAAGTAGTGTCTCTAAATAATGTCGCTGGACCCTCTCTATGGGTGACCCGGCCTGACGTGTCTCTAAATGATCTAACAGTTCTGTGTCTGTAAATGTTGTCGCTGGACCCTCTCTATGGGTGACACGGCCTGACGTGTCTCTAACTGATCTAACAGTTCTATGTCTGTAAATAATGTCGCTGGACCCTCTCTATGAGTGACCCGCCCTAAAGTGTCTCTAACTGATCTAACAGTTCTATGTCTGTAAATAATGTCGCTGGACCCTCTCTATGGGTGACCCGCCCTGACGTGTCTCTAACTAATCTAAGAGTTCTATGTCTGTAAATAATGTCGCTGGACCCTCTCTATGAGTGACCCGGCCTGACGTGTCTGTAACTAATCTAACAGTTCTATGCTGAAACATGAGTCGGGTTTGACATGACCAGTTACGTTATGTCTAACAAGTGGTCATCTAACTGGTCACACAAACAGATGGCGAGAGTCTATGTATCTTCACACTATAACAGAAAGTGTGTCTATATACATAACTGATAATGAAGGTATCCTGGACCAGGAAGGTATCAACATCAACACTGTTGCTTCCATGTTCCCTTTCAAGACCCCACCCAACCCGACCTACCAACAGCCGTCTGATACCTACACAGACAGTGAACACAGACTAAACATGGTTTGTACTAATGCTTCAAGATCTGTAATGAAAGTCACTCACCAAGAGGCATAGCACATGATGGTTCTAAAGACAATGACAATATAATGAGCAGATATGGTTTACTTACTTGACACACGGACATGAAATCTAAGTCAAATATGGCTGTCGTCTTGCTCAGCTACAAAACGAAACTCGGACTGTGAGTGGCGCCTGCAAGTGTGACGCAACAGTTACCCGTCTTTATTGGATGAATATGACTGGTCGTGACAGTCAGCTTATTGAAACACGGGTGCATTCCGTGACAGCGTGGCCTTGCGCTTTGTAACAACAATTATAGCAGTCTCGTGGTTTGAAGTTTGAATCGTTAGCATACATTAAAACTGATCGGATCTGAATGTGCCTCAACGTATTAATGTTGAATAGTACACAGTCACATTATCATGAGTTTTAATGTCGGCAACAACATAAAGGTGTCCACCCTTTGTTCACAAGCTCACTGAAACATGGCGCGGACACTTGCTGCAACCATGAAGCGTTGCCTTAAAGTTGCTTCATACGGGCATCTCAAGTGTGCAAACATGGGCTGGATGCTGTTCTCCTTCGCCATTTGAGCTCCTGTGATACGCCCTAAGGCATCCCTTCCGTAAGCACTTGCTTGGCGTGATGATTTGCTTACATTATTCAATCCGACTTGAAAGGTCATCTTGTACTGTACCACTAGACTAATGCGTCGTCTCTGAATATATATAATTTTGATAGTAACAAATGTAACATGCGTGGTTTGCTCTGTGCTGTGGAAACTGGCCCGACTTTTAGGCCATCCCGTGGAAACTACTTGGTAAATGTGTGGTTCTACTTTGCGTTGTGTTTTTCCTTTCCAACTGGCATGTTTACCACCAGAGGGTACGCTCCAGGTATAAACCTGTCAATCCGTGAGCAGAATTCTCCTCCACGCTGTTTCCCGGTTACGAGATGCAGCCTTGCGATTCAGGACATAAGACAAAATTCATATCACCATTTTATTTACACCAAAACACAAACTCCAAAGGAAACAAACGATACAAAATATAGTGCTGGGAAATTTTAATCAGAAACCAAATTAAAATTAACAACCACGATCCCCACCTAATCCCGACCTCATATAAATCTCTTAACAGCGGTAGTTGGTTTGTAAAAACCACCCGTCCTTCCCGCTTCCTAACAATTACCCTGTATATATCTATCTATCTAAAACTAAATACCTTTATTCCCCCGAACCACCTATACCTATGTCTACCCTGCTACTAAGTGCTTCGTCGTGAGAGGGGGGGTCAACTGTTTCGTCTCGAACAAGGACTGGTCCGTCACGGAGCAAATTCTACTTTATCACAAAGCAAACTGGGAAGCTGTTTCGTCTCGAAACAAGGGCTCACCTATCCTCGGGTGTTTCCAACTCAGACAATAAAACACCTGTCGTGTGTTCCTTATATACGCAATAGCGGGCCTGTCCCAGTAAGCGAGGAGAACACCCCCACCCTTGGAATGGAACCTTCCAGTGCTTGCAGCCAATCGCTGCGTCCAAACGGCGAGCGAAACCAAACAAACTAGCTACAGCCGTAACCCGCATGTCCCCGCGAACACCTGTAAGAAAATCCATTTAATATACCAGAATTTATAACTTATACCCCCAACTAAGTTACTAACGCTAGCCCACCCCTTTCTAATATCTATAGCACCTATTACACCTATCCCCCGTTACACAAACAAGCCTATTTAAATTGAAAAGGCGCCTCAGGGAGACCAGGGATTCTGAACCTGAGGAAATCTAGACTTGCTTTATTTAGGGCTTTAGCACTGCAGAGAGGGCTTGGCAGTAGGGACAATAATGTGGTTCAGGGACTGTGAGACAGACTACTGTATCACTTCAATCTTGGTGTTCAGCGTGTGCTTGACAAAGAACAAGGCTAACGTTGTTGTTGTAGTAGACTGCTACTACTTAACACAGTTTTGAAATTGCGAGATATGCCCTATTTTACACAGATCACGAACACGGTGCCAATCTGTAGGGTTAATGCCAACATCTCTTCTCCCACACTGGCAGCTGATAGACACATGCATCGACTCTACCAAGTGGTTGATGAAGGCAATGGGCATCTGGCCCCATTTGAATACAAAAAGATATACTCAATATCGGCCTAATTTAGAGGTCGTTGAGATCTCGACCCACATTGTTCTATATGATTTAAATACGGATTGTAGGATGTCTATACTGGCTTCATGTCGACGAGCGTTGTCTTTCTGGAATGAGAAAAGGGAAAGACATATGGACCGGGGACTTCGTTCCGTTCCGTGTAGCCCTGTGCCTTGAGGTCATGACCTCTCTCTGGACCAATATTGGCAGACCACAGGTCCACTTCTTTGTTTCACGTCACTGCTGCCCGTCACCTAGACTGTAGGGGAAATAATGTGGTTCAGGGACTGTGAGACAGACTACCCCACACCCTGATGCTTAGGTACCCCCATGGGTTTCCTTCAAACACACATACCTCTCTAAATCGTTCACCATTCGCCGTCGGTATAAAATCATTCCGCTGTGTTACTCATCCAAGTTGTTCCTGACGATGTCAGTCTGTTGGCATGGAGGCGGACTAGAGATGTCCCTGACGATGTCAGTCTGTTGGCATGGAGGCGGACTAAAGATTTTCCTGACGATGTCAGTCTGTTGGCATGGAGGCGGACTAAAGATGTTCCTGACGACGTCAGTCTGTTGGCATGGAGGCGGATCAAAGGTGTTGCTGGCGAACAAGGCGACACTGTATCGGCTCTGGTAGGTGTGTGTGTGTTGGGGGTGGGGAGGCGGGGTGGCGGTGGCGGTTGGTGGTGGGGGGTGGGGGGTGGGGGGTGTGTTTGCTGTTTGTTGGCCGCGCTGTTTCAGTGGCGTCTTCGTTTGCACAGAAAATGTTTCTTTTGCGATTCAGAATCTATTCAAAACAAATTTTGGGAACAGATTATTATTGATATACTGTAGTCGAAAGGAAGAAAAAATAACGATTTCACTGGGGTAATTTTGATATTTGTAGCATGTGAACAGCTGATATTTCCTGAGAAAATGACTTTTGTCCATAAGTGTGAACATCACAGTTTCATAGTCTCTAGGGTTCAGATGGCATGGCTCTCGTGAAGACATTCGTGTCCAACTTGCGTTTTCCCGGTACAAGCCGAATAGAAACCCGTACCTCTGTGGAAGGATTTCATATTGGCGTATGAAGGTAAGAACACCTTAAAACAAGAACGATAAAATTAGATTCCTGTTGATTCCAGTGGTAGGTCATATCACCGAAGTACTCTGTAATGTATGGCTGTTTGTTTTTTTCAAAACATACTTCTTTTGAACTTATTTCATATCCCGGTGTCGGGGGTTTTCGGTGATGTAAGACAAAAACATAATTTGTATCTTAAATATCATTTATTTTACTAACCTTGAGTGATCTATTCGTCTATTCCATACAAAATTATCTAGTGTTTCCACCAAAAATAGCGTGAATGACATCGTATCGGCGAAACTGTTGCCGCTCTCAACATCCGGGGATTCTGTATGGGTTTTTGACGGTGGTGTTCGGAGCACATAACCACTGGTATGGAATGCGCACAGTTCTACACAACGATACACATTATCAGCTTCTCATGGAAATAATTTCATAGCTTATAAAATGTGGTAAAACAATGTTTGAACGAACTTCCAACAATAACACGAAATGACAGTCACAACTTGGGGAAGTTAATAGCATTTTCAATTAAATTTCAAATTGTTCATTTGGAAAATGCCATTTTTCACTCACGAATTTAGTCGTGTATGCGAGTGCAGTGGGGGTAATAAAAAGATGCATGTGTCCTGACAACACGGTCTTCAGTACTGGGCCCTGTTCCTCCAAGCGATTGTAGCGCTACGACAGTCGTAAGTCTATGTTAAAGTATGGGAGTTACGATCACCTCTGAGGAACGGGCCCCTGAACTGTAAATGTACCCAGTGACCACAAGATGATCACTCCGCCCATTTGACCAACATTACTCCGTGATAGTCTTTTAATTGAGCAGGAGAAAATCGTCCACAGATGCAGCACTTTTCGTCATTCTTTTCATCACTTAAGTCAGTGTTACTATCAGGGATATCTGCAGCAACAACAACAACGACATCTTTTTGTACACGCTGTCTTTTCCGTTTCCCTTTAGCCAAGATAACGCCGCTCCTCCCTTTACAAGTAAAACAATAAGCTTGTGTTACTGTTTCAACCTAAAATTATTTCGGGGAATTTCGGGGTCATTCAGAATTATTGGTCAAGACAATTATAATATTGTTGCAGAAAACTATTCAATTGAAATTACAAACAATATGACAAGTAACACGACAGAGATAAAACTACAGATGCTTAGAACCAGGGAGACTCTGTTGTAGAGTATCCCTGTTAGAACATATTGTAAACGTTATACACGTTGAGCATATATTGACTATGAGCATCCACGACTCCTGTAACTAAAGCGAACGTTATACTTTAACTGAAATAGTTTAGGCGTCTGATACACTAATGGTGGCCTATGAAAGTAATGGTTTGTTATCTGTGATTCTGGATTACTCATACAATTCACATATAGCGACCGGACGGTAAATGCTAACAGCATTTTAGATTAAAGTAAGATTATTTCATTGTTCAAGTAGAGTAGTACTGTTAGAAGGACTTTAACCAAAGTTAACCATATGACTTAGTAATAAGTACAAGTGACTTACCTTCAAATACATGTACAAACAGATAGGATCTCAGGCAAAGCAGGAATGATTCTAGTGTACAACCATCCTGTTTATACACCCGAGACCTCCTGTCCGAATAAGTCCGTACTCGCAAGTTCAATTAGCAATTTTGATAAAATAATATATCACATGCTGGTTGCATTAGGCAAGTTTTGGATGTCAAATGCTAACGCTGAATGCCGAAGTAATGAAAGTTAAATAACCAAAGCTTATGAATGCCGTTTGAATTTCACAGTTAGTGCTGGTTCCTTTGATAGAATATACTTGACTTGGTCAGCTGTAACTACGCCATCAGGCTCTCTATATCCCTGTATTTCGATTAGGACGCAAAATGACTTAACATTTAATTGCTTGTAGCGTTGCTTGACCATGGCCAGTTGTGGCAGCTTGCATCCCAAGGCGATAAGTGGTATTATGCAAGTTGCCAGTGCGCAAGTATAGTTAGTTTGAGTCGCATAAAGTTAAATAGGCACT